TATATAAATATGAATTATTAGACATTAGATACATAAATAGCTAAAAATTCCATGGTGAAATGAACGCCATTGTTTGTTGAGATAAGCATCCATTCTAAACCTAAAACGAAGAAAAACTCATTTAAAAGAGTTCCGATCAGCGGAATCGATCAGAGCATTCAGGGGTTTGAAAAGCTGGAACCAAAAAGAAAATTTGGAAAAAAAAAACCATCCATTATGATGCATGCAGGAATGAAATCAAAGCAACCACATCTCATAGCAATCATCATAATACATCAACATCTGCTCCAAAGAAACATACCCATCATCTTCAGCCTCACACACATCTTCGATGGTGGAACCCTCATGCTCGAAAAGCTCAATCCCACTCGCCCTTTTCTTCACCTCCTCATCCACCTCAAATCCGGTACAATCTCTCACACTCAATCGCTTCAGATGCCTGCATCCGTCAACTATGGCAAGCAGTTCCCCTCTGCCCAACCGGCAGCTGCTTAGATCCAGCCATTCCAGATTCGGAAGACAGCCCACAATCGCTGCGGCGTCTTCTTTCTTGATGGATCCCCGGAGCTTTAGCCCCTTGAATTTGTTGCAGTGGATACCGATCTGCTTCACCATCTCAGCAAGAATTGATGGCTTTGATTCCATCTCAAGCACCTCAAGCTCCTTCCACTTGCTTATCGCTTTCAACAGTTGTTCCTCATCCTCCGATTCAACCCTAGGGAGTATCAGATTCCTCAGCTTCGGGCACCTATATTAGATCGGAAATCATCAGCCCCGCCTAATCGTCTCCAAACTTTGTAACAATTTAATGAAATAGAACTTACTCATCGGACGCGAGGGATAGATCTTGTTTCGAAACGGAAAAGTGCGAAGGGAATCGGAGATCAACGGCGGCACCATGGGCATGGTCCAGCGCGAGCTTGAAGAAGCCGGAAAATGACAAGCGCGGAACGGAGAGCGCCAGGGCCAAGGGGCTTGACGAATTGAAGTCTAGGTAGCGAAAATCAAGGATTCGCTGGCAAAGAGGGTCGAAGGAAGCTTGATTCCAGGATCTGCAGACGAAGGAGACGGCGGTGATGAGATCTTCGAGGCCGAGTCTAGAGAAGATGTTGACAAGGCAATCCGTCTGCATCCCCTCCCATCCTCTTAGCTCCATTATTAGGGATTTGAGCCTTTAGTTTCTGCGTGTTCCGAATTCCTTGTGTTTGAGATGGTGGAAGACGGAGTTCAATGCGGTATTTAAACAAACAGGTGCACTGTATACCGCTCTGGAAAG